TAAAGCAGTGGAAGGTGATGTTAGGGGATTAAAAGTTTACCTTACCTACATTATCTCAATCTTTTATTTTGTTAAATGTGGCATTCTCTGATAAAAAAAGTTACTTCTACTGAAGAATAAAATGAAGCGCTAGTATGAAACATTAGCTATGAATAATAAAAGTTTTATCTTACCTCTGTCGAAATGTTTCAGATCTGCAGCTGTAAAAGAAATTTTATTTTAAAGAAGGAGTATCATAATATACAGTGGGTAAAAAAAGTATTGGCAATTGCCTATAATTGATCAATCTAGCTATCAAAGGAAATGCTTGAAAATTTTAGCTGGACATAATGAACACAGAAGGCAATAAAGACACAAATCTAATGAAACTTTTCTTTTACTATGCCTTTTACACAAAATATACACCGAAATTTGGATGTCAAAAAAGTATTGGTAAGATCATACAGCAAAATGTGGGAACAAAATTTAATACTTTGTATTCACACCTTTTGCATTTATAACAGCTTGTAATCTATTTCTCATAGAAAAAATAAAAGTCCTGGTTGTTGAAAAAGTCCGGTTGGGAATTTTGTGCCATTCTTACAGGAGTATACGCATAAAGTTCATCTTTACATAAAATTTTATGTTTCTGACTTCTAGGTCCAATTTTTTCAATAAATTTTCAGTTAAATTTATGTTAGGCGATTGAGGCGGTGTCTTTAACTGGCGAGAAGCATTATAGAATAACTAATTACCACTTGAGGTTCACTGTATCTTTAGGGTCATTATCCTGTTGAAACACAAATGGTGTTCCTAAGCCAAGTTTTTGGGCACTGAATTTCATGCTATGGCGCAATATGTCAATATACGTAGAGCCGTCATAATACCGTCAATGAAGCACAGGTTACCAATTCCACGTTTGTGTGGCTGGCATACAGCCGCAAACTACGACGCTCCCTCCAACATATTTTTACAGTCGGAGTTAAATGTTGTTTTTCCACTTCAGCGTTAGGCTTTCTCCACACATATTGCCGCCCATCACTCTCGAAAATGTTAAACTTTGATTCGTCGGACAAAATAACTGTGTTCCAAAATTCGGTTGATAAATTAATATGAGATTTTGAAAAATCTAATCTTTCTCCTGTTTATTTCTGAAATGAAAGGTTTCTTTCTAGCTGCCCTTGCACAATAATTTCCTCCATGTCACACATTCTGTATAGTCTGTACACTAAAAGTTTTACGCGAAGTATTAGCAACATGTTTGGCTAACTAGGGTGCACTTATTTCAGGGTTTTTCTTAACCTCTTTGATAATGCCACATTTTCCCTTTTAGAAAATATTCTAGGCCGTCCACTTCTAATCTTATTTTTCATCGATCCTGTCTCTTTGAACTTTTTACAATAGTTCTAACAGTAAATAACCTTATGTTCAGTTGTATTCCTATAGCACGATAAGTTAAACCTTCATTTCTGAGCTGAATAATCATGTTTTTAACATTTACATCCAACTCCTTCGACTTTGAAGCTGTATTAGCAAAATAACTTTTTAAAAGTTTTGAAGTAGCACTGCAGACTTTATACTAACAGGGTGTCGAAACTGTATTGCACCAGATGGCGCTGTATGCGCTTGAATTCTTCGGACTAGTGCAGAACCTTGATGATTGCGAGAGATGTAACACCAACGCGAAACATTAACCAAAGTTTATATGTGCCTCTCTTTGTTGTAAATGTATTTAATTGGTCGTCAATAAAATATAGAGAAAATGATAAAAGGCGAGAATGCGTCTGACAGGTAAGTGAGATTTTCTTTATATTTGATTTGAATTGAGTTTTAACGACAAAGAATGTATATGCGTATTTACAATCTTTTGGTGCCGATAATCCGGAGAGACCTTTAGATAAAGTAAATTGCGAATTGATATGAAAAACGTATTTAGCGAATTGAATAATTTAAATTGTTATAATGAATATTGAAACTTTGAAAAAGATTAGATGCACCTGACAGACGCGTGGCAACTGACACTATGAAACTGTTAGAAACTGAATAAACAAACAGGAAAGATCAGTTGATTTAATTGATGACTTTAGCGAACTTTAGATAAGGAAGCTAATTTAAGTATCTTAATGAGAAATTCTAAAACTATGCAAAACGGAAGAAATAGAAAAGGAAATTGAAAAACAGCAAGAATATAAAGATAATATTTTACTTGGAAAATCGCGCGAATAGAATCCTGAAAACAAAAGAAAGCGAAGTTGTTCGAGAAACTGAAAGAACGATTGTTGTAGAAACCAGAAGTGAGCAGCAGAATACAGTAAAACTTCCTTCCTCGCTTGCAGATACCTCAATACGATGGCAATATTTTAAGAGTTTAACGAATTTTATTCTCAGTTTGAAGTAGCTATCCATAACAAATGTGAATCTTAGTAATGTAGAGAAGCTTTAATTATTTAAAGTCGTACTTAACAGACGAAGCTGAGGTAGCTCTACGTGGTTTAGCATTAAGCTCTGAAAACTATGAAATTGCCTTGAACATATTAAAAGAACGCTTTGGTCGAAAAGATATTATTATCGATGCGCATATGGCAAGACTTTTAAACTTAAGTCCAGTACGAAAATCATATGACATTGTAGCGTTGCGTAGACTTTACTCAGAATGCGAAACACATATTCGAGGATTAGAAAATAACGGAATTAATCCTAATAGTTACAGTTGTCTATTGTATCCAGTGTTGTTAAAATCGATACCCAAAGATTTGTCCTTAGAATTTTCTCGTAAAACACATTCGGAAGATGAAAACAAAATATCTGATTTATTGGAATTTTTAAAGATTGAAATTCAGTGTCGTAAACGTAACAAGTACTTAAGTAGAAACTTTAATTTAAACACTTCCCTCCAGAATCGCGATTGGAAACTAAATTTAATCCTTTACAAAAACCTAATCAAAAGTATGGGAGATTTAATAAAACCAAAGTTGAATATAGCGGGAAAAATTAATATTTTGTTAAATAATGCGTCACAGAGATGTTTTTTGAGAAAAGAAGTAGCCGTAGAAATGAAACTACCCATAATTAGACAAGAAAGTCTAGCTGTTTACACTTTCGGCTCTAGAGTACCAATACAAAAAACGTATGACGTAGTTTGGTTTTCACTTTGTAATTTATGTGATTCGGACAAGAAAATAACGATTGAAGCACTTTTGACTGACTGTATTTCTGGATCGCAGTTTAAAGTATCACATAACAAATTAATGCAAATACTTTCGAGGAAGAACATTCAATTGTCAAACTTAAGTAAATCATCAGGAAATGAATTGTCTCTGCTTATTGGAGCACAGCATTTTTTGGGATATTCATACGGGAGAAAAACAGTGATTAAACAAATCTTTGTATTTGATTGATACTCTGTTTGGAAGGGTTGTTCAAGGTCGAATCCCTCCATCAGATTTAAATGCGAATCGGGATATTTCTATTATGAAAATTGAATGTTGCGCCGCATTAAATGAAAAACTAACGCAGTTTTGGCAGTTAGATTCAATGGGGATAAATGATACTCACAGTGGAGATTTTAAATTTAAAGAGGAATTTATTTCTCAATTCGAAAGTAATTTAAAATATGAAAATGGAATGTATACAACTAAATTATTCTGGGACGGTAAACCAGAAAACTTGTCTAACAATTTCGCGGTAGCAAAACGAAGATTTCGTAACTTAAGTGTAAAAATGAAAGAAAATGATTGGGTTTATAATGAATATAAGAATATAGTTAAGGAGCAATTAAAACTGAATATCGTTGAAGAATGTCCTTTCGGCTTAGAAGAGAATTCTTATTATATGCCTCATTCAGCTGTAGTAAGATCGGATAGGGACACTACGAAAGTCAGATTGGTTTTCGATGCATCGTCAAAAGGTAATGGGTGCAAATCTCTTAATGAATGCTTGAATCCTGGGCCACCGTTGAATCCCAGAATTTTGGATGTAATCTTGCGATTTCGCGAATATGAATATGCATTCAGCTGTGATATTCAGGGAGCATTTTTGACCATAGGAATAGCGGAAGAGGATAGAGACTATTTACGTTTTTTCTGGTTTCCAGATGAAAGTGATTCAAAAACTTACAAAATTTTACGAATGACTCGCGTTCCCTTTGGAGTGACATCAAGCCCATTTATCCTTGCTGCGACTATTAAATACCACATTAGAAAATATAAACTTGAACAAAGCGAAACTTGTGAAATGCTTGACTCGGCACTTTATGTAGATGATCTTTTTTACGGAGCAAATACAATAGAGAAAACTTTAGAACTTTCACAGAGCGCTGTAAAAATTCTTAAAGATGCGAACATGAATTTAAGAAAATTTAATACTAATTCGGATGAGTTGAGAAATTTATGGAGTGAACGAGGTTTGTCTGATGTGACAGAAACTAAAGAACGTCCTTTGAAGGTTTTAGGCATAATATGGAACACCGAAGAAGATACTTTTAAGTTAGATGTAAAACCTCTACTGGACATGATCCTGTGATAGGAAGAATTCAAAACGTAGTGTACTTCAGACAGCTTCGAAGTTATTTGATCCTATGGGAATTGCATCACCTTTTATTGTTCTCATAAAATTATTAATGCAAGAAATATGGGAACTTGGTTTAGGATGGGATGATGAGCTATCAACTGACTTGAAGAAAAAATGGGATAATTGGTGCTCTCAGATTTATCTGTTGAAAGATTTGACAATGGAAAGAAAATATTTCTCCATACCATGGAAGTTGGTGAAAGAATTAGAACTACACATATTTTCTGACGCTTCTCCTAAAGCTTTCGGAGCAGTTGCGTACTTCCGTTACGTGGCAAGTGAAATGATTGTATTTATACAAGTTTTATCACTGCGAAATCTAGAATCGCACTGCTTAAAAGGTTCAAAGTGAAGCTTTTGCGGAAGAGCTATCCTCTTTGAGACAGGGTAAAACAATTTCTAAGAATTCCTCTATTCTAGAACTGAATCCCTTTCTTAATAATGACGGGATAATGCATGTTGGTGGAAGACTTCAGAAGTCAAGACTTTCTTACCTTCAAAGACACGCAATTAGTATGCCCTCAAAACATCACTTTGTGAATTTATTAGTGTGGGATGCACACAGCAAAGTGTTTCACGGTGGAATTTCTGAAACTTTGATAGAAATACGCGAAAGATACTGGATAATTAAAGGAAGACAAACTGTTAAAAATATCTTAAGAAAATGTATTCTGTGTAAACGATTTAATTCTTCTCCTGGTGTGCAAGTTACTGCTCCTTTACCAGTAAATAGAACAGAAGAATTACCTCCTTTTTCTGTAGTAGGTATAGATTTCGGTGGACCACTTTATACCAAAGACAGTGATGAGAAAAATTACATCGTGTTGTTTACTTGTGGAGTAACGCGAGCTCTTCATTTAGAGTTTGTTGGTAGCATGACCACAGAAACATTTCTTCTTGCTTTTCGACGATTCATTGCTCGTCGAGGTCTATGTTCTCAAGTTTTGACGGACAATGCCAAAACTTTCAAACGATCAGAACTTGAACTTAAAAATATGTGGACTGTCATTAGTCATCCAACAGTAAAAGACTTTTACGCCTCCCACAAAATCCAATGGTGCTACATCGCTGAGAAAGCTGCGTGGTGGGGTGGCTTCTATGAAAGACTAATTAAATCTGTAAAACTTGCTTTACGAAAATCTCTCAGAAAAACTACTTTATCTCGAGACGAGTTAGAAACTCTAATTATTGAAATTGAAGGTGTTCTTAACTCTCGTCCTTTAACTTATGTTTATTCTGAATTACAGGAACCTATGCCTCTAACTCCAGCTCATATGCTATTGGGGCGCAGGGTGAATAGTTTGCCTCCTCCTGCCAGGCTTCATTTTGATTCTAATTTAGTTAATAGGAAAATGCTAATTAAAAGATTTAATTATCGAGAAAGATTGGTAAGTATGTTTTGGAATAAATGGAAAAATGAATACTTATTAATGCTGAGATCTGTTCATTGTGTTAAACCTTCAGGTAAAATTACTGAATTTAAAGTTAATGATATTGTATTAATTCATGATGAAAAGCTACCTAGACATTTTTGGAAATTAGGAAGAGTTGTAACAGTATTTCCTGGCAGAGATGGAAAAGTAAGGTCTTGTGAAATTAAAACAGGTACATCAGTTATTAAAAGACCTGTGCAGCTTTTATATAATCTTGAAATAAATGAATAAATTTAATTGTTTATTATATGTTTTATTAATCTGTATTATTGTTACAGGACTATTCCATATATGTGATGAAAGTTTTAATGTATGTACAGGTATTGAGTTGCCAGCTTATTATCTTTATTATACTTTATTGCAGGTAACTTTACAAATTGTTTAAAGATGAATGATTTGTTTATATAGTAAATAAGTGTAGTTTCTTTAATATGTGAATTGATTGAACTTTACATTGTAAGAGTTTCTTTTGTTAAATTTGTATTAATGTAAGTGTTTGAATGAACCCCTGGTCATTCGGGGGGCAGTCTGTAGAAACTGTATTGCACCAGATGGCGCTGTGTGCGCTTGAATTCTTCGGACTAGTGCAGAACCTTGATGATTGCGAAAGATGTAACACCAACGCGAAACATTAACCAAAGTTTATATGTGCCTCTCTTTGTTGTAAATGTATTTAATTGTGTCGTCAATAAAATATAGAGAAAATGATAAAAGGCGAGAATGCGTCTGACAGGTAAGTGAGATTTCTTTATATTTGATTTGAATTGAGTTTTAGCGACAAAGAATGTATATGCGTATTTA